CCCGCCGTTCGTGCACGAATCCAAGAACGGCCTGGACGACTCGGTGCTTTCAAAATCTGTTTACTCTGCTGCATCCATCCGCTTTTGCATCTTGTTAAACAGTGCATCTCCGAGAGCAGAATTTCTCAATTGTGAGTCTCGCACGATAGTCGCACGCATGGCGTATTATTACGTATGCCGCGTGCCGCAGTTGCCGTGATGCAACCCGATTTTCCGGTGCGTGCGGCACGCGTCAGCCGCGAACGCGTCCATCGGTTTTTCACGCAAGCCCCGCGGCGCAGAACGTTTAAAGGCTTAGATACACGAGGCGATTGAAAGACGAAAGCCAATGGAGAGCCTTGATTTCGATCCATTGACGTCCATATATCGAAATCAAGGCTCTCCATTGGCTTTCGTCACCGTTTTGGCGATTAATCGCCGCGCCGTGTGTATCTAGGCCTTTAGCCACGTTTTCACGTGATAAGGGCGGCGCGACGCGACGTTGCGTTGGTCGCGCGAGGTCAGTTAGCTACAAATTCGCGCGACCAAGTCCAATATTTTTTTTAAGAGTCTGGACTTTGGATTCGCGACACATTTTCCAAGGATTTTCCTGGAACTTTGATTCGGAATGGACCACTAATCTAGGTACGAATTTCAGCATTCTGATACATGTAATGTAACTAAAATTTTACGTAGAACGCGATGCGTACAGCAAAAATTACCGACATTAACTCCTAACGAAGATAATCAATGATTCCTGATGCGTGAATCCAAACCACCCGCTCATGAAAACTAAATGGTCTGCGTGATTCACATCGCATGCTAAACGTTATCATGACAGTATCTGCGATATAAAAATCTGGCAATCCAAATCTTGACGCTTCAGCTCAGCCATAGCAAATTGCGATTACTCGATTGAGAAGCTTGTTGAAACCGTTGTAGTGCGCGATTTGATTCACGTAGAGCTCTGAGTTTCTTGTAAGCGGCCAGTTCAAATTCCTCGTAACCAATGTGAAATAAAAACGTTAATATCATAGTAAGGAATTGGGTTCAGTAATATTCGTTGTGTAAATCGTGTTCTACGTAAAATTCTGGTTAGGAAACATGTATCGGATTGCTTAAATTCGTATCTTGTCTAGTGGTCCATTGATGAAAAAGCAAACGAATAAAACATTGTTAGGAGTTTCTTTTAAAATACAAGCATAAGATCGTCATGGGTTTAACATTTCTTAGCAGTATTTCCGCACTAATTACGAGTAATATTATTATTTATCGTGCTACACGACATTCTGATGGACTTTAATGACACATGGATCAATCAATCTTCGTGCTGCAGCTAACTAACCTGGAGGAAAGACTTAGAGATACAGACTGCACGGAAGCAACGAAGATGGAAGGATACTGTAGGATGAGGACGAGTAATTAAATCATTAGCTATTTGACGGTACCTTGACCAACTACGTAAACTAGCAGCGATTCGGCACAGATTAAATAGTATCTTCATTAATTGGATTTGATCCATAAATTATGCTGATGAATCTGTATGGTTAGAACCTGTTTGTTCTCCTGTTAAAGTGATCCAGTTTGTCATGTACGGACGGACAAACACATTATTTTCGATCGGGTTGCACTTTGTAAACGTACTTTCTTCTACATCAGTTCCTGCTTAGAATTCAGACCCCCTAAATAATGAGGGAGTAAAAAGTCAGCCTCACGCAAACGCGTGGGTTGGTAAGAAAGATTGAAATTCACCGACTTTTCCGCAACTTTCATGGGAAAATCCCGATTTCATTTCGCACAAAGTCCCTGACTTTTCCCAAATCATCTATTGATTATCTATAGAGTTGTGAACATGGCGTGAGCACAGTTTAAAGTTAACAGGAATTTCCAAAGGAATGAATTCCTTGACCTTACAATTAGACCTACTTGTCCCCGAATATACTGACTTTAAAGTTTGTAATTCTTTTAACTATCGCGACCCTGTGTGTGTGTAAGTTATTCTCAAATTTGCTTGTTATTCCATTTTTTCAGTTCGAACACTCAAACAGCCACAGTTACCGGGACAGGGTGTCTAGTATTTTTTCATATTGGGAAAGTCTGATGAAATCCTGATTTTTCCTGATTTTTGACTGCTAAATCCTGATTTCATAATTTTATCAAATCCTGATTTTTTGCGGAGAAAAATTAACGGACGAACAACGGGTAATTAACGGAAAATAAGCGAACGGCCGACTTTTCTCAAATCCTGATTTTACGATCGATTTTTAAATCCTGATGAAATCGGGATTAAATTCTGATTGACCTCAAATCCTGATAGAATCGAGAAAATCGGGAAAATCCTGATGCTAGACACCCTGTAGGACTTTTGAGGAGCGGAGCATGGTAAACATACAAAATGGAGAATTATTTTCGATATTGACGAGAAGCAACGTGCAGTTGGAGCGCAGCGTAAAAACGCTCTCATCTTCGATGGAGTGGTGTCCCGTGTCCCCCGTGCCGCCTGCTTCCCTCCTCCGATCGGAGCGTTGACCGCAACGGATGACGATGACGCAACGGTGATTAATTTTCCCGTCGTTAGCGCCGTTTTCCACTTGGGGTCATTAAGGCCGGGAAATTTAATAACGAGCCGCTCACGGGCGTCGCCTTAAAACAAAACCCACACTTTCAGCCTGATAACATCTTTATCCTTGCTCCAATGCTCCTCTTGCATTGATAAATGCACTTACTGCAGCCGCCATGCCGCTTTCGCCCTATAACCTTCTTCTCAGGAACGAGGATTCCTCGATACTGCCATGCTAAGGAAAAACGCTGTATGAACCTCCAGGCGTTGCTAAATTTCCATTTCTAAATCACGAATTTCCTGATCAACTTATAAATGAACCAGTGAGAACGAAAGACACCAACTCGAAAAAATGAAAATAATCAAGACACACACACAACTGCACAGTAGGTAGAGAAGTTAGTCTCAGAAAAAGATTTTTGGAGCCGAGAGACGAGTTCTTAAGAACACCTTTGTTCACAAACGAATTTCTGTTTTTAGACTTCAATTTTTGGCAAGAGAAAATATACGGCTAGTAAAATTCTTACATCACTATTTTTCACAAATAAGGGTTGCTTCCTTTCTGATAAATAGGTAAATGATTAAAGTAGTGTCAATTCGAAGCATTTAAAATCAATTTAAATTAATTAAATACAATTATACGGCGATTAATTGCTAATTGGGGTACTACCAAAATTAAGTGGAAACGTTCGTATCATCCAACAACCTCGTACTCTTTTTTTCCTGCGCGCTCATCTCTATTTCGGGGAAAATATTCGTATTTTAGTGTTACTTTCAGTTGGACGTATTTCTGCCAAACGGAACTATGTGCACTAGGACATGAGCTCTGAGACTCATAAGAATATATGTATAACAGGGCTCACGTCATAGAGCACCTACTTCTGTTTGGCAGAGATACGCCCAGTTTATACATGCAGTGAAACACAAACCTACCCAAACTGTGTTGAGTTCAGTACATCTCACGTTGAATTGGATAGGAAAAACGATGGAAATGCGGGGATACGCCAGGATCAACCGAAAGCTTGGGCGACTGTGCGCGGTTTGTGTTCTTCACTTTGTAGAAAGGCATTACTAGGAAGAACGCCACCAGGTACCGGTTTCTTGGATTCTGTGCCAATCTTTCTCTTTACAAGATAGGCGAACGGCCTTTAAGAGTCTGGCAAAGAGTCTCGGCGGATGGAAGTGTGAATCAAATGGTACGACTGAAGTAATGATAGGAATCATAAATTTCCAATGCCCGCATTGACTGGATTTGTCCGAGTCTCGCTTTGGATCCCTTCACAAAATGAGTTTATACAGGGTGATACAAAAGTCCTGTGCCACTAGCAAGAGGCATCATCCTTGTAACTTTTGAAGAACCCGAGACAGAGACTTGAAATTTTGTGAAAGCGCTCAGGTCAAAGAAAACGACTTACGGGCTCCCCCAAAATTTTCAGGGGACCACCCTGAAAATGGGCAAAAAAAATAATCATGATTCAAATCGAAAGCAATGCGTCTTAGTTTAAGCGGATTTTCTTATGATTTAGGTCAAAATTCGATTGAATCAATGGTATATTTTCTTGCACTGAAAAAATTACGTGCTTTATGGACATACAGTCCAATCCAGGCTCAGAGGCCGAAAGTTCCGGGTGCTCCGCCCCGAACTTTTGGCCGCTGAGCCCGGAACGCGGACGGTATGTCATGTCTACATACCCCGTAAGTATACGGCTTCCACGGCCAGAGTTTTCTTTCCAGTGCGTCAAATTTGTGAAGAGTCCGGACCCCGGATCCAAGAGACTTTTTCCCAGTGGCGAAGAAGGTTACAGGAATGTTGCAAGACTTTTGATTCAACAGGTGTCTACTAAAACAGGCTGGCCAAAAATCAGTACTTTTACAGTGTTTTTTCAGTACATTCCCGAGAAATTCAGTGCTCCTCAATAGAAAAATCAGTACTTTTCCAGTACCTCACTGGAAAAAAAAACACATTGGATCTAGAGTTCAGACTCTTGAAAACATTGAAAATAAAAAGGACTCTTGATTAAATCAGATTTAAGCTAAAATTAAGAGGCTTGGTTCTTGATTTAAGCTTAAATCTGATCGAATCAAGAGTATTTTTTCTTGTCGATGTTTTTAAGAGTCTGGACTCTAGATCCAATGTGTTTTTTTCCAGTGCTCCAATTACCGAAATTCAGCAAATTTCAAAAATTTGAATTTTCCGCTCAAATCGCGACAAAAATAACAAAAAAATGAAAAAATTCCGGATCTTCTCGCGGAATTCCGCACTTTTTCAGTTCTTCCGGACCGCCCTTAAAATATCAGTACTATTTCCGTACTTCCCGGAAATTCCGGATTTGTAGACACCCTGTTCATGGTATGCAGAAAACGTGACTCACCAGCCAGGTATTCTCCGACGGCGGGGATGTGACTGCGAACGCACTGCGTCTCGTTGAGCGGGAGGGAGACGGCGTCGGGGGCGGGAGCGGAGGTGACGTTGTAGTAGTTGCGGGCCGAGAGGTACCGGTCGACCGCCTGCGGGACGATGTCGTTGGTGATCCTGGACAGGATCTCCCGGGAGTCGACCACTTCCAGCTTGAGCCGCGGGTCCAGCGAGGAGTTGCGGAGGTGCAGCCGGATCACGTCGGGGATCGAGAGCGGGGTCGGGGTCGTCTCCACCTCGGACGGCACCGTTGTCGGCTCCTCCATCGCTGCAACAGAAAGAGCTTTCGTTTGAGGGCAGTCTAGAAAACTTCAGAGAGAACTGGACGCGGTCGCGGTCGCACACTATTGACCTTTCTGCGGAGGAGGGAACTTTTCCAAGAACGATCTTTGAAAGTTTATAATGAAAGGCTGGTTACTGAATTTGATTTTCTCGTGCGGGACTCGATGAGTTTAAGTTTATGAGTTTTCAAGGGTTTGAGCTACTTGAATTAGAAAAAAAAGAAAAGAAAAAAACTCCGATCGTTTCGAAGATAATATTTTTGCCTAAAAACGGCCCCTGAACTTGGTCAATGTGCCTCACTCTGTCTACTCCGATCGGCAGGGGTAAATGCGGTCCCTCCAAGTCTCTACTAAAACAGGCTAACCAAAAATCAGTACTTTTACAGTAATTTTTCAGTATATTCCCAAGAAATTCAGTACCTCCTTAACAGGAAAATTCAGTACTTTTTCAGTACTTCCAATTATTGACGAAATTTAAAAAATTTGAATTTCGCTCAAATTGAGACAAAAATGACAAAAAAATTAGAAAAATTCCGGACCTTCTTGCGGAATTTCCGCACTTTTTCAGTGCTTCCGGACTTCCCTTAAAAATCAGTACTATTTCCGGACTTGTAGACACCCTGCTCCCCCGCTTTGCCGGAAAGTTCCACCTGTGCGCAGGCTCACTGAAATAGCGGATTTGTCCGCTCCTTAACCCGTGTGCAATAATGAGAGCGGGGCATTTGCGGGTCTTCGCAATGATCTTGAGCATTGGCAAATGTCAATGTCGTAAGCGACTAGACGAAATGCAGTTACGGGGTTCGGCGATTACTTGTTACGTATTGTTTGCATTGGATGAAACCATGGACGGGGGCCGGTATCGACTTTTCCCACCGTGAGATCGACTCCACGAGCCGCGCCGGGCTCGTTTACATGATCTTCCTACAAATAGACGCTATTAGTGGCGACGTCATCATAGGGATTCTCCATTATATCGAATTGCATCCAAACAATAACATTGGCATAACCTCTTTCAATGCTACCATTGCGAAAACATCGATATATATCGCTTTTCTGTGACGTGGCACTAATAGCGTCTGTAGCACGCTGGTTCCAGCGGCGTGGCATGATTTGCGATGTATCGAATGATACACCATTCGAACCTATAGAACGAGATCGATTGTCGGGGCGTTCGCAACGAACGTCATAATAATCGATGCTTTACCATAGCTTCAAAAGGGAAAATATCGATAGTCAATTTGCTGGTTTTGTTGGCGGAGTCATAATTCGGAAAAAGTTGCGGTTGCTACGACAGACGCATGGAACTGGAGAGGAAATTACACCCTTGATATGGGTTTGAAGAAAATAGGAAACTAAAGAATTTGATGGTGAACACAGAAATTTTCAGCCTAAATATCAGCAGACCAGGGATAAATACAATATCTTTTGTTCCTGATGTTTTTCTTTTCCCTTTCAAAACTGCACGCAAGTAAGCTCTCAACAATCATCCAAATAATCTTTGCAATGTATCTTTGTAATCTCTGTATTTAGATTTTTAGCTTTATGCTGAATTTTTAACGCACGTTGACAAAAAAAAACTCCAACAGACTCTCATACGATCCGTGCGTCCACCGCAATCAGTTTGTGTAAATAATCTTTGTCTATTTTTGTAATCTCTGGGGTCACACGATGTCAAAATAGTCTTTCGTGTCGTTTTATTTTATACTCTAGTTTCTCTATAAAAAAAAAGAAAAAGAAAAAAAAATGTCTATATACGATCCTGTGGACTCAACCAATCTATTCAAAAATTTTAAAGAGGATTTTTTTAAATGTTCAAATTTTACTTTGATGAGTTTTTCAGCTGTGGAATCAAAATGTAAAAATTCTCATGATTTTCTTCGTCGTGATCTGTAGATAAGGGCTTAATGTCCCATTCTTAAAATATACGATCACTATCAATGGGTCTGGTCACAAACGTAAACCATTGGTTCGATCTTCCTCTCAATTACAAGATATTTCTCGAACGACAGCGCGCTTAATTTTTAAGCACTGATCAGGTGCTTCGGTCAGTCTTGGAAAGAATCTGCTCAGTCTAACCGCAAATTATGTAACGAACGTACGGTGACAAAGTTACATCGTCTTTGCTTTTCCGCTATCCGAGAGACAATTGTACAATACTTAATGATCTCTTTCTGATGGCGAAAAGAAACTCCAACGCGCTAAAAACCATCGTTTTCCAGCGATTGAAAATGATTCGCGACTGATTCAACGGTCGAGGAAAAGTTCGATGACATTGATGCATTTAAGATGTACAAGTGCATTCGCACTAACAAGAAAACTGGAGCTGACCACAACTGACTGAAGACAGGGAGACACGTTTTCTTTGGCTATATAAAATTCCCTGACTTATCCACAAATCGCAAGATTTTGATTTGAATAATCCCTTAACTTTCCCATGTCTTTTCAATGATTCTCTTGCATAATTCATAATTCCGAATGAAAATGCATTGGAAAAGTCTTTTACACGTGACGTTCCTCTAAATAGAGAATTATCCAAAATTTGATGATTTGAATGCACAAGTTCTGATTTCTGTCGGTACAGCGACGGGTGCGGTAGACATTAAACATTAATTAATTATTACGTTTCGCCTGAAATAAATAATTCAAAGGATTTTCATTTCTAGGCTGAAAAAGAATGTCATGACTTTTCAAATTTTCCAATGAATTTATAAGAACTTGATATGCTCGAAGAATTCTGTACATGAGATGATTCATATATTGGAATTAAAATTCACCTGTGCTTTAAGAGTGCGTCCGTATGACATAGGCGGATCCAGACATTTTGAACGTGGGAGG